TTATTTTGCAGATAAATATTTCCGTGTTGGAGAAATAAACAATAAATATTTATATTCTGAAAATCAAAATACACTATATTTCCAATTTGTTGTCAACCCAGTTAACATTACAACAAAATAAGAATGATTCTCCATATCACCATCATCCAATTTTTTCCATGCTGAACAAACTTTCCTCCAAAGGACCCAAAAATAATTCGAACACTTTATAAGGAACACTCTTAACTCTCTTTGAAATCCGAATAGTCGACGATTTTCATGCATGCGTACGTGTCGTGAGCCACTGTAGAAAGAGAAAGAGATATATTTTGCGTGACTGGTACGTGCTCTGAGGTTCCCTAACACAACGTGCACTCAAAGAAGTCGTTAACTATCGTATTCCATCTTTATTTTCATTACACCAGTTACAGATCAGATAAAAAAAAATACATTTAAAAAAAAAACAGCAAATCTCATGGATCATGCAAAAAGAAGTATAACAATTTTTTTTTTTTTTTTTAATTATTTTATGCTTCCAAGAAAGGTTAGAATTTTTATTTATTGAATTTCTTTTTTATTTCTATTAATTAAAAATAACAGTAATGAGAAATTGTTACTCAATGCTATAAAGAAATTAAAACTACTGTAATTTTTTTTTATTAGTATTTTTATATTTATCTCTGTGTCTTTTTGCATTTTTGTTATTTTTATGGAACAGATTGAGGAATCGCGTGTCTGGATAACAAGAGACGGCTACGAGGACGGATTAATCGCGTGTAAATTTACGCCACACCGGGGTAACTCGGTGCAACAGGCTGAAAAACGATGGAGTAGTAGGTGGAGACAGAGAAAGACGAGGGAACAGGGCGGAAAGATAGCCACGCACGTCGTCTCGAAAATAGAATCAGCTTCGTTGACACTCTGCTACAAATTGTCCGCGTCGTTATGCTCTTTGTAAGAGGCGCTCTTTCTTTCTCCCTGAGTGCTCATTCGAATACTTAGCAATTTTTGAATTCCGATCTCCGCCCTTTGACTAATCGGACATTAAACATTAGAAATATATATAAAAAAGTTATTACATATTACATAAAAGATTTTAAAAGATTAATTGTAAATTTACAAACTAACTAAATTAAAACTAAATTTATATTATTAAATTAATATATTTTCGCAGGAAATTAAGACAAAGTAATTTAAAAAATTATTAAGAAGTTGGATTTTCAATTATTATTAAATTAAGTTAGTAAAGGTAAAGGATAATCATATATTTTCTTTTTCTTTTTTAAATAAAAAGAGGAATAATAGGAAACAGTATTTATTTCTTATAAGCATATAACCTTAGAATTCATTTATTGATTATATAGTTGCTAAGTATACAAAACTCTAATCTAATTTTTTCCAACAATAACAATTTTAAAGAACGAAAGTCCAAGCATTTAAAGAAATTTAAATTAAAAAAAAAAAAAAAAAAACTGTATTTCCATGTGACATCC